GGGAGATGGGCCGGGGCAGCAATCCCTAACTGACCAGCTTGACCGCTGGCCTTACTGGTTGCCCAGTTGCCTGAACTACCAGCTGTGCCTCTAGGGGGCTCAGCAGTGCCAAGGGGCTGAGCATCAGGGCCACCTCACTTCTCCTCCTCCTCCAGCACCTCACTGTAGAACAATTTTGCATCAAGACCTCCTGGTCTTTGGAACCTACCCACGTGGGCAAGTGGGGAGTGAGTGAGTTCTTGTGCAATACAGTGGGCATCAGAAGTCCCACCGCACGTGGTGATCGTGAAGGGTGAAAGGGACAGTGTCTACAAGGTACCTCCAGGGAAGTGTTAAGGAGGCATTGCGTGACACAAATGAGCAAGCACTGGGCTGGTCATCAAGAAGTTGCTGGGTGAAACTCAAACAGGGACGCCTTCAGGCCTGGCTATTGCTTCTGAAAGGTGACGGCTATTGGAAATTCTATCGCGAGCCCTTGGACTTGGAAAGCCGAGTGGGAAGGAACCCGCTGGCCGCTGGCTGTGAATGCTGTGGAAGGCTCAGTGAGGGCACCAGCCAGACCTCATTCCTCGTTGCACCTGCTCTATGCAGTGGGCGCCCCAGCCACTGGCACTGCACACAGCCACTGCCTAGATGCCTAAGCCAACGAGGGGCTTTTTCTCCTGTTGTTATTTTTCAAAAGCACCCAGGAATTAGTTATGACGCTGTTGGGAAGCTTAGACTTGGGCTTACCATGAGACTGTGTTCTTACCCGTCATGTTGAGCAGCCCGTGGGGCAGGGCAGTTCCCCACCAACCGCAGGGTTGGGTCCGAGACCCCTTCTGTTCTTGGGAGAGGCTAACCAAATGAGGTCGTTCCTCTCCCAAAGCCGGGTCTCCAACACGGTGGTCAGGAACCGAAACTTTGAGTCAGAGGCAACGGGGAAGGGGGCTGCTCGGAATTCCCTGCCCATGGGATGCCAAGGGCCGCATGGGATTGGAGGTCACTGGGCTGTGAGCCCAATCATGCCCAAAGCCTGCTGTCTGGCCATGAGTTAGAGCAGGCACCCCCCAGTGCGAGGGATGGGGGGGTCGGGGGGGGGGGACTCCCACAGATACGTGTAATCTTTCATTCGCTAAATTCAAAACGACTCATCATTTTGTCTTCCTGGCAATTCAGACAAGGTCACCCTCCTGAAGGCCACAACCATCTAGGCCTGTCTAGCAGGGGCATTCTGACTTTTCAGAAAAAGGCCAAAGTCAACATGAAAAAAAAAAAAGAAAAAAAAATCCTCTTTCGGCTCTGCAGTGACAGTCGCTACTCTATCCAGTGTTGGTGTGTGCACGCCAAGCAGGGAACTCGGCGCTCCCTGCGCTTCTCCTGGAATCCTTACAACCCTGGGAGGGAGAGGTGGTTTCTCCCCACCTTACAGACACAGCAAAGCGAACTCGGAGAGATTCAGCCCCTTGCTGGAAGTCACCCGGCACAGCTTCACACCCCAACCAGCGGAACTCCCTGCTCTTCCCAGTTCTTTGCTCTGAGATCAGCTGCCATTGACTCATGGGGGATGGGGGTGGTTGTGTGTGTGTGTAATTGTACTCCCAATGGCTGGTTTGTCAGAAGCAGAGCACCAGGACTTTCTTGAGAGAGCCCCGGCACGCAGGACTTAACCCTTTCTCTCAATAGCCCAGTGCGTTAAACCATGTGCACCAGCCAGGGACTGTGTGTGACCTCACGTGAAGAAGCTTGAGATGGGTCCTCGTGGAAGTGTTTACACCATGGAAACCGGCCAACACTACGACTCACGGGATCTTGACTCTTGTTTTTAACGACTGCTGTTCAGTACTGACCAGTCGTTGAGTGGGCGAGTGGGTGGAGGCAGGATTCAAATGCAGGTCTCTCTCATCTCAAGCCCACCCTCTTTCTAGCTCGGGCCTCAGCCCCGGAGGGAAGTGGGTGGGCTCCTTCTCACAGCACCATCTGGCTGTAGACCGTGGGTCCTCAGGATGCAGTTGCTGGAGGAAGACGGCACATCAGGGCCCACAGGAGGTGCCTGATGGCATCCAAGTATTATTAGTAAACACTTCTGAGCCCTCTTCCTTGTCTGCGCGGAGCTAAAGATCCAACTTCAATGACAAGGGCTGAGTAAGCTGGAGACAGGATTTACGAGCCCATCTATAATGGGCTCTTATAGATGGCACCTTTCATCTTCAAAGCATCTCGGAGCCGTTTACTAATTAGTCCTGGGCTGCACTCTGCGTGCAGGTCTGATGCGCAATGGCGGCTGAGTAAGTCGCAAGGAGTGTTTCAAAACACACAGGTGACCTTTGCCCCTTTACAAGTGCCACTTGATCCTGGTGGCATCTGTTGCTGTCAGGGGCAGAGATGAAATCACACTGGCACCAGCCTTTTGAGTCCCTGGCATTTGAGATATGAAGTGGCTATTACTTACTGCCTTCTCTTTAATCCTCCCCCTGAGAAAGTCAGTGCAGTCCTCTGCTTTCCTCTATGGCTAATCATGGTCAGGGGCTGAAAATCACAGAAATACAACAAAAAGCCCATCACCTCCACAGCCTACATAGAACGTCGCATCCCTCTATTTACCAGGGTCGTGGGTGTGAACAGCAGGGGCTCCGAGGTCAGGAGTTTGAGTCCTGATTCCGGCATGCACAGGCTGGTGATCGTCGGTCAGTCACTTACCCTCCCCGGTGCTGCTTCCGCACCAGTCCTGCTCACTGGGGACTTCTCTGATCTGGGTAAAGTTGCACTGCACGGTGTGGGATAGCACTTATGAGTCAGACTGTGCCTGTTCTGCAGACATGTGGGGAGCGATCCATGATCTGAGCAGCCGGGGCGCCTGCAGACCCCTAGCAGTCAGTGGCAGGAAGAAGCAACACTCCCAGCCCAGCCTGCCCACTGCTGACTGCCATCACAGCGGGTGGCTTTTTGCAATGCCAAGGAAGGGTCCGGTCCATGTGACTTCGTCCCACCCTTTGCTGGCGTGGCCCACTCATGGCTCTATAAGCAGCAGAGCCCCCTGGGCGTCCCCGTGATGCCACCATGTCAGGAGCGTCCGGGAGAGGGCTGGGAGAGAGAGGAGTCTGACAGACGGCTGCCAGGAGGTTGAGGGACATCCACCTATGGCCTGTCGGTCAGAGACACTGGTGGGTGGGAGGGGGGCTGCTGGTCTAGCGGGTCACAGCCATTTGCCCCACAGGTGACCTGGGGAGTGTTCTCCAAACCCAGTTGCCCATCCCAGCTAGTGAGGTTCTGGCTCAGCAGGCTGGCCAGGGTGCCAATGTGGCTCAAAGCAGCGGTTCTCAACCTGTGGGTTGCGACCCCTTTGGGGGTTGAACGACCCTTTCACAGGGGTCGCCTGATTCATTACAGTAGCAAAATGACAGTGATAAAGCAGCAACGAAAATAATTTTGTGTTTGGGGGGTCACCACCACATGAGGACCTGTATGAAAGGGTCACAGCGTTAGGAAGGTTGAGAACCACTGGCTTAGTAAGACCCTTAGGCGATTCTCATGAGCCCAGCCACCCGCTCCTCTAGCACCTGCTTGTCCCACAAAGAGGAAGGGACTGGTTCAAGGTCACACGGCCACTGGAGGAAGAGCTGGGATGGGGTCGCAGGCACGGAACTGTTCTGTACTGGGACTCCCAGGGTTTCTGGGGGAAAGAACGCCAGCCAGGAGGTCTGCTCCACGTGCCCCCGGCTCCTGAGCACACTCCGGTCAGTGGCTGGGGAGCACAGGGGGAGCCGTGGCCCACACGGCGTGGGACTGTTCAGAACTGGTTCCCGTTCAGGCTTGTGTGGGTCTTGGCTGCTTGGCGCTGCAGTAGCAGAAATACAGCAGGTGGGTGGGTGGCCTCCGCGTACGCAGAACTGTACTGTGGCGCTAGAGGGTGGAAGTCTGAATGCAGGGTGCCAGCTCTGGAGAAAGGCTCTCCCTGCTCGCAGTTCTGGGGGGCGCTCTGGGTTCCAGCTTCTTGAGCACCGCCAGCAACAGCATTCCTGGCTCCCTGGTGGACTCCGAGGGGCCTGTCTTTCCCTCGTTTGCGCCTGCTTGCTGCCCAATCTGCTCCTGTTTGCTCTCAGAAGTGGGGAGGTCCGAGGCATGCGCCACACAGATGTGGGTCCTTCACAAAGTGCCCAAATGGTGAAGCAGTGAGGCTTCACGACCCAGGTTTCGGAGGACACAACTCAAGCCCTCACTTATGACGAAACTGGCCCCCAAGCCACAGGCATGAGGAGCCCTGTGCTGCCCTGGGTGGGGCCTGTGGCTTCTTCTTGCACTGGGAAGGCAAGGAGACGCAGCAGCTTGTTTGGTTGGCTCTGTGGGTGTTGAGCACCGTGGGCTGAATCCCAGTGTGCAACTTACTCACATGGGTCCAGGTGCCTGCAGCCAATGGGTGCGTGGGCTAAAGGAGGCTGTGAGGTGCTGTGAAAGGACCTAGCCCCCCAATTCTCAGATGCGCTCTGGATTTGCAGAGAGAATTTCCTCAGGTGGGCCTCGGTGTTCCCCTTGGGAATAGCAGGGGGTGGAGGTGCTGGTAGAAATGAGACGACCGTCTAGGCCCAATGGGCTCTCAGGGCCTCCCCTCAAAGCTCCATCCCAGGACGGTTGCTGACTGTGGGGCTCGCAGGCCCGAGCCCCGGCATGAGAAATACCCATGACCCCTGGCCTTCACCATTCTGCATACACCCAAAGATCTCTCCCAGAAGCCCCGGGGAGGGGAAGCGGGGATAGTGGGCAGGGCCAATTGGCAAACATTGACTGCCTCCTGTGGGGGGTGGGGGGTGTCACCATGCCAGGAGCTCCAAGGGTGGGTAGTGAGGTTTGGGCTGGGACCCACAAGTTCCTGAGCACCCACCTGGGACCTGGCTGGACAGCGGGAACCCACAGGATGCTCAGATTCATTCAGGCACCCTCTTGTCCCAATGGAGGATGGTCCGAGTGGGAAATGCTCGAGTGTAAACGTATGGACACACGCACAGACACACACAGACACTAGCTTCAGGAAAAAAACATAAGCAAAATGGATGTTTAATCTGAAAACCGACATGAGCTCTCAGAGCCCACAGCTCTGGAATAAGGCATGTACACGCTGAAGTCACACTTTCCCAGGAAAACACTGGCTGGTGATAGGTGACTTCCCAACTACAAAATAGAATGAAGGAGAGAGGGAGCGAGGAGAGGTGAGGAGGGGCTCTGGGATTGGAGCTTTGGCCAGCAGAACGGCCGTCTGAGCACAGCACCTCCACGGCGACCTTCCAAGTGGCTTCCAGGAAGCAGCTGTGTGTGCTGACACGCGTGTAGACAGGGCAGGCTGCATGGCCACCTCTCAAGCCTGGTGTTTCCTAGAGCTTTCCGTTGGCGAATGCTGCCTCCTGGAACTGCGGCACAAAGGTTTTGAAATAAGCCCTGGTCGGGGGAGAGAGAGAGAGAGAGAGAGAGAGAGAGAGAGAGAGAGAGAGAGAGAGAGAGGTGGTTAGCACAACTTGAAAACCCTGCAGTTCAAAGCTTTCACCCCAACTCAGAACGGTGACTGCCCACGCATCCTGGGCTGCATGTTCCTCCCCAACTCATGCAGCACCACCTGGATTTTCCAAGGAGGCCCATGCAGTTCGAGGGTGAGGTGTCTCTGGTGGGCGTTCAAAGAGCTGTGCTCAGACCTTCCTAGCTGCCGATTCCTGTCAGACGTCAGTAGTGAAGTGCTGAGCAGAGGGGGACCTCCACTGTGTCCTGCTCTTTTCCTGAAGAGCAGGGCCTGGTCCAGCTGCCAGGCACAGGGGGACCTTTGCCCACCCAGTGTTAGCCGACCCAAACATCAAGAGGAGAGCGGCTTCCGTCCAGCTGGGTCTTCGATTTCATGCAAAGAGGGTCTGTGAGGGCGGACTCCAGAATGGCCTACAGGCTCCATTTCGATTTAAACATAGCCGTAGCTGTAGTTTGGTCCATTAGTACAGTGGTTCTCAACCTTCCTCATGCCGTGACCCTTTAATACAATTCCCCAACCATAAAATTATTTTCGTTGCTACTTCATCACTATAATTTTGCTACTGTTGTGAATTGGGCGACCCCTGTGAAAAGGGTTGAGAACCGCTCCATCAGCGGGTATAAAGGCTGGGTATGAAAGACGAAAGACAGGGTCTGAGTGGGAGGTTTTGACCTGCACCCTGGATCAGGAGATGAGCACCAGCTGAGCCCCCTCAGTGCCAGGCCCTGGGGTGGGAGGTGACCCAGGTGTGGCATCTGCCATGTGGGATAACTCATTTCAGAGGAGGAGGCACCCACAAAGATGGAATCCCCCTTGATGTGGTCAGAGAAGTTGCAGCAGGGCAGTGAGGTGTGTGCTGCTCGGGGACCAGTGGAAGAGGTGGTTGGGTTGGCATTCCATGTCCTGGGCTGAGGAAGCTGCAGGAGCAAAGGCTCGGAGGCCTCATTGTGAGCTGGACACTAAATGAGGTCTGGCCTGCCAGGGCAGAAAGGGTGAGTAAGGTAGGAATGGTGGAGAGGCAGATGGAGGGGCAGGAGGCGGGCAGCTTAGGCCCCTCCCTTCCTCTAGCCCCCGTGCAGTCAGAGCAGTCCTGCCCTAAGCATCGCATATGACAAAGGCTTGGAAGGGCTACCAGAGACCCTACACGTGGGGCTCCCGGCTCCAGGTAGATTAGAAGGGTCAGGGGTGACTTCACGGTAGGAAGCCAAGTGCCCAGGCTGGGTGAAGCAACAGTGTGCCAGCAGCCAGGGAGGACAGTGGGGTCACCTGCAACGGGAGCGAACAGGGACCCCACTCGGCAGCCGCTTGGCTCAGCCCCCGAGGGCGCGGCTCCTTGCCTGCTGGCCCTTTTTCAGCCTCATCTGAAAATGGCAGCCCCTCCAGGCGGGCAGCTTCCTTTCCCTGTAGCCTGTGACCGTCCGCGTCACAATTCTCTCCAGTCCCCCTCGTCTGCCGACCCCCATGGGGAATATTTCCGTGGCTCTCTCTCCTTCCAGTTCTCCACTTCCCTTGCAGCCTGCCCTGTGGTTCCTCCCAAGTTCTCGGCTCCCTGAGCAGATACCTAACCCTGCCCCCAACTGGGTGTCCAGCCTACGTTTTGCTCGCAAACTTACCGACGACCACTTTTCGGGACCATCTGACCTGGACGCCTCTGTGTCCTTCAGACCAGTGTGTTCCATGGAGCCTTCCCCGCTCCTGTGCATGTGAATGCGCTTCTCTAACAGAGCCCTGGGGGTCCGTCTCAACCACCTGCCACTTCTTCCTGGGCCCCTGCGGTCACAACATCCAGACGATTCTTCCTCCTCCCACCGCCCTTCCAGGCTCATGACACCCCTGACACCCAGTCCTGGGACTTTGCAGCAAAATTGCTGCAGAAGCCTTGTCGCCACATCCCCTGGACACGGTGCCTAACTGGCCTTTCTGTTGTAGCCAGACTAATCTCTCGTAGGGAGTGGGCCTCAGTCACCACCTGGACCAGGTTAACTTCTCCAGACTCCCAACCTGGCACCCATGGCTTTCACAGTCTGGTTCCAAGTCATTAAAAAAAAAGTTCCCCTGTCCTCCATTACACATTGAGATCATGTGCCCCTTTGAGAAGGTAATGAAAGACCTTCTTTCTCCAGAAAAACTTTAGGGTAAACCCCCACCACCACCCCTGCCAGCTGCATATGTTATATGCAACTAGGGGATGTGGCAGACCCCTGGACACCCATCCTAGTCCCACATAGGGCTCCTCCCTCCATCCTCCTGGACCACTGGTAGCCCTCACTCGCCATGTTCCATCTCTGGGCTCTACTGGTGCTCAGGCTGAGTGCCCTCCTCCCCCCCAAGACCCCCATGGGCCATTACAAGGTTCTCTTCCAGCACACGGACACTCTGTGTGCCTTGCACAAGGGCCATGTCACGGGTGCACACACGTGTGACCTAGCGGGTCAAACCCCACAAGCCCCTGGGCGGGGAGCATGCCCTCCGTCCAGGGGCCCACAGCCTTCCTCGGCTCCCTGCCCACGGCAGCACGCAGTGAGGACGCTGTGTCTTATGTGACCGTCTCCTATTTGTCAGAGGTGGGTCAAGCGCGTGCACCACACGATGCGTAGGGAGGTGGGCGGGGAGATTCTAGGCGAGCAAACGGTCGTGGTATTTAGGCACTGAGGAGAAAGCTCTTCTCCGTTTTCACATTTCACACCATGCGAACGATGAGAGAGAAAGAAAAGCACCCTTGTCCGGCCACTCCTGAACCACCCCTTTGTGAGCCAGCCAGAATGACACCTTCTTGGACCTTAAGGAGCGCCAAGATGTCTCTCACCTGCGGCACTGTGCAACCTCCCCTTCATGCCAGGGGGGCGCTGTCGTGCGGGCGTGGAGAACCCCCCTCAAGGGCAAGGCTGGCCCCACACCGAGTGCCGCCACCCGGGGGCTTGGTTTCCCTGCGGTGATCACGCAAGGGGACTCAGCCTGCCCTGACGGGACACTTGTCTGCCGCCACCCAATGCCAGGGCTACCCATTCCCTCCGCGGCTCTCTTCCAGGGGTCTGGCCTGTGAGCTGCAGGAGGGCCCTTGCCTCCCTGCTCCAAGTGCCCTGTAGAGGGCCACCCACCCATCAGCACCCTGCCGCCCTGCCCCAAGGGGCAGATGAGGACATTCAGGGAGAGGGGGCAGGCCTGGGGGACCTCCTCAGACCTGGCCCCGCACAAGACTCTGAAGCCAGGGCCAGCA